TAAATGTGCCTGGAAATCATTCACCGATACTATACAAATACAGATCCTGACTCAGAGGTGTGAGGTTCTTTTCCACAGACCACTCTCTACGTAGCAAGGGTGTAGCATATTCCATTGGGGTTGGGGGAGAAAACTTTCTTTGTACCTTTGTTCACATGGTTGGATGCCCATTCAACAGTTTGACAGGTTAAAGACAAAACCCCTGAGCATTAGCCTTCTAACCCTCTTTCTGGATGGAGATACTACAGAAGAAATAAATTAAATGACCTCCCCCAAAACTGAGTGGGTGTTTCCTCATGTCTAAGGAACGAAAACTTTGTAGACTCCTATAGATGTATAAAGTAGTTGAAAGGATATCCACTTCAACTGACCATTTCCATAGCTCCATGTCCAGAATGCCAGAATGCTCATTTCTCTTCTCCTAAGAGATTTCCTTAATTTGAATCAGTGTGCTTTGCCTTGCAACAGGTGGAAGCCATTTTGGAAAAAAGAAAGGAGGGGGGATGGCAACAGAGGACTCAGACAATAAGACCATGAGGTATATTCAATCCTGCCTTCATGTGGATAGACAGCATCAGAGGAATAAGAACTGGAACATTTTAGTTTAAGTTTGCCAACAATCTTAAACCCACAACCACAAATCTTGGGGGAAAACATGCACATACATGTTCTTGTATTAAGGAAGCCATCAATTCATTCACTTTCAATCACTCAACCATTCATCCATTTATTAAATATTGAGTACCTCCCTCTACAGCAGACACTCTTCTAGGAGCTGAATATTTAGGAGACAACCCTCTGCAAAAAATATTCAAGCTATTTCATCTATTGGAAGGTACCTTGGGCACCAAGGTGAGATGATTGCTTCTGTGCTTTCACTTCTTTCTCTCGGAGGCAACATAGAAGAGTAAGAAATTTAGGGCAGTGTGTCCCGAACTACGGTGAGAGCCCAGGCCAGTCCCACCACCCCATCTGTTGTACATTGATACTTTAATAAAATACATCAAAAACTGATTAATAAAAAAAAATTTAAAACCACAAAGATACACAAAGCACAAGTCCCCCTCCTTTTTTTGTTAGTTTCAACAGGCAATGTCAAATTCCTTTAAAAGGAGGGAGGGCATCTAAATGCTTACTCTCAAATTCTATGCATCTCACAGCGGACTGGTAACAAATAGCTTGCAGACAAGCATACTCCTCAGGCTACATTTTGAGTAGAACTCATTTAGACACTGGACTCCAGGGTTAGGTTGCCTGGGTGTGAATTATAGTTCCAGTACTTGCTAGCTACGTGACTGTGGGCAAGTTATTTAATTTCACTATTTCTCAGTTTCCTCCCCATAATAAGAACACCACCCTCACAAAGCTGTTGCCAATACACGTAAAACACAAGTCAACACATACCAAAGAATCAGAATCGTGTCTTGGCTCATAAAAGTGTTAGCTGCTATCATTACTACTATCTACTAGTAGGAATACAATTGTTACAATTGCTACCATTATTACTATTTAACGATGCGTATCATTTGGGGCCAATACCTGCACAGTTGTTTCACCTATAAAATGGTGTTTGTCATCTCCTCCTTCCTATTTACTTCCTTCCCTTCTGTGAATTCTGTACCTAGACAGTGAAATTCTGGATTCGAAAGCACGTTATCACCCATGGAAATGCCCCTTTGTAACAGACTGTCTATACCGCCCCATGCCATTTCAGAGAGGTAAGGACAGAGCGTCCTGGGGTTCTCTGCATCTGCACATCATCAAACAGATGAAAGCAGCGCTGAGACAGCTGTCCTTCCACCGCCCCCCCCCCACCCGGCCCCGAGAACCCAGGTGTGCTGATGCTGTGTGACCCTGGGTGCTGCCTCAGGGCAAAGGCACGATCCTTTCTTCTCAGAGACCCAAGGACAGTTTAGCAGTGGGAATGACTTTAAAGGACATTTTTTAATCTTCAAGTAATTGACTACTTAACCCACCTGCATCTTTTACACATATATGTATTTCTCCAAGCTCCCTTCTTAACAGTTGTTTTGGATTCTCAGCAAAAATTTTTGAGAATTGTTTATTTTTTCTTCAGATCAGTCACCTACAATTAGCTGGGAATAAAAATGTTATGGTGACTTTTAAAAAAAAGGTTAAGGTGACATTTAAGGGACATTGAAACTTGACCACGGAAAATTATGTTTGAAAACAACTCTCAATGATTATAAAGCAAGAGAATGTCTCGAGATGCGAGAGGAAAATAACCATCTCATTACTTTTTCAATCTCATCACTCTGAGAATATTAAATTTATTGATATGGTCTAGCTAATTTATATTCTCAGAAAATAAAATTTTTATGAAGAAAGAGAGGGCAACAAAATAAATAAGAAAGCAGGTGTTTTGGTTGTGACAACAAATTTGGAGATTAATAAATTGAATGACCTTAGTTTAAAGATTTACTCACTTACACAGAATTCTGTCTTGACTTGGTCAAAGAGAGGAGAGGTGAAGTTGGGAGCTCTCATCTATCCCTTAGAATGGAGTAATCGATTTAGAAAACAAGAGGCATAGTAACACTGGCTGGTGACGAGGTTGGGAGTGATTTAATTAGGTGGCAGTAGGCTGCCCTGAGGTGTCTTACAGCTGGCAAAATGTGGCCCTGACTTGGCTCTGATTATAGTCCACTAGTTATGAGTTGTAATGTGTTTTTGCTATTCAAGCTGAAAATTATCATGTACAATAAGTCAGCATCTTTACTACGCAGATATGCTCCACAGTCCATTGTTGCCTTTGTTTTCTTTGGAATTCAGTACACTAAGCATATTAAAGTTGCTCTGCACAGCAGGGAGCGTGACACCTCGGGGGACAGAAATACTGAAAGGTTTCCTGAATGAGAGGAAGTTAATGACATGGTCAGACCAAAGCTAGATACAAACAATGTTTTGTCACTCTCTCTCTCTCTGGTCTTCCCACGCCGACTCAGCAGTTATTTCTGACTCTCGAAGCTTATCCACTGTGTCTATCCATCCATCCATCTATCCATGCATGGATGCATTCGTTCAATAAATTATTTATCAAACACCTTCCTGCTTCCTGGTCCTGTACTATGCTTCTGGAACTTACATTCTATTGGGAAAAGACAGGTAATAAACGAGTTAGAAAATCGATGAACTAATAAATATGGTGTTTGTGTTACGACGAAAGAAGAATCAAAGTGTTCAAATAGAGACTAACTGGGGAGATTTATTCAGGATCTGGAGAAAAAAAGAGAATTCCATGCATGATTCACATGAGGAAACATTAATGCAGAGATGGAATTACAGAGGTATGGGCAGAACTGAAAGAAGCAGTGAGGGATGGTGAGGTACCCAGAGACTAGTAAGAGCAGAAAGCTGTGATCAAGGGGAAAAAATGACATCACCAGAGCTCAGTGAGGGCTGGAGCTGTGGAGTGGGTGTCATCTGGCAGGACCTCTGGTTATGGAGGGAGGGGTACACCCACAGCCAGAACAATGATCCAAAGTGGAGAGGGAGGAGATAAGAAACAGCCCTAATCTCTTTCTTCTCTTACCTCTTCCAATCTGCCGCTAGTGCTTCCTATTGGCAGAACCAGATCTTAAGTCACCTGGCAAGGGAGCGTTGGCGATACAGTCCAAGGAGTTCAGCTTCAGTGTTGGACTGGGTTGGGGTGTCGGAGGGAGGGAAGAATGCAGAATAATTAGGGAAGGGGACCTACTTAGGTAGGATAGTCAGGAAAAGCCGCCCTGTGGAGGTGACATCTGAACTGGGCCTCTGAGAGAAGAAGGTCCCAGTCATGCAAAGAGCCAGCGGAAGAGTAATCCAGTGGAGGGACAAGTGAGCACATGCCTTCGCCATTCTCCCTTCCCTGCACCCCATACTCAGTACAGATCCCTCACAGGGAACATATCTCACACAGAGCCAGATGATCCAAATGAAACTTTCCTACGTGTCATGCTATTATTCAGGTTCTGGGAGAGGCGAATGCCTCTATTCTGGTTTCTCAATACCACAGAAGAGTTTGCTCATGAAAAAGAACACTCACAACTAGAGCATTTGCCTATGAAAGGTCTAGCACTTGTATTAACTCTAAGGTACAAAGAAGGAAAAACCGAGGAACACACATATAAAGGCAGGTAAGGGAAAGCAACTAAAGTAACTATAACTCCTTTCCATTTACACAACTTTCCTTTGAAGAGCTCAAGCCTTCCACACTTTGAGATATCCTCGAATTGTGCAACTTTTGTAAAAATATGCTATTGTGCCCATCATTCTCTCAAAGGAAGAAACACTATAAAGATACACTAACAGTGTAATAATAGTTAATGTACATATATAATTTAAACTCATACTAATATACTTTTAGTTTTAGATTTACCTCCAAGTCACTGGCTAAAATGGATATAAAATAAATACCTCAAGCCTATAAATCCAAATATCTGCTAACAAATTACTTCATTTCTGTTGCCTGGAAACCATTTCTTTATATAACCAAAGTAAAATTTTCAATATTAACAAGATCCTGAATTAAATGATCTGACTTTTAAAGGCCAGTTTGCTGGTGGGTTCAAATTCACTGTGAGTTAGCCGAACTCTTTACAGTAAGTCTGCCCTAAAAAAAGGGTTTTCTTGTTGGTAGTTGAGGTTTGGCACAATAATTTCCTTCCCTGAAGTCCTTCATACTCCTGGTACATTCACAAGTGGAAAAAGAATTCCCTTCAGGGAGAAGTTCCAGGCAAATAATGAGTTGCCTGCATGTTAATGAGACTCACCATCTTCCATATGCAAAGCCAATCACTTTTTTCTTAAAGATCTGAAGGAATTTCCATTATCTCTACATTAGTTCTAAATTACCCCAGTGCCGGTTTAATTTATCTCCTCTTGTTTTGTCTCTGATGAATATGGAAACAGATGGTAATTCTTCTTTTTGTAATTTGTGCCTCTTGCCAAGTCAATGAAAACTGCTGACAAAAATAGCTAAGTTCAAAGTATATTATTACCTGTAGGAGAGGCCGCTGCACCCCCATCACCTTCATGGTGTCCGCATTAGCTAGGATCTTCAAGGGGTCAGATGTTTTGGTGACTCCTTCAATCTCCTTGTTGATCTCTGCCAAGACCTGATTGAGGAAGATGTTTTTGATGTACACGGTGAGAAAGTCTCGAAGAGGGCACTGTTTGGCTGGGCCAAGTCCCAGGGCATGCTCGATCTCTTGAATAAATCTGGAGGACAACAGAAGAAAATGGTTGTCAAATATATCAGAAAAAATACTTCTGGAAATATCACAAAACACATATGGGTATTTCTAGCTTTGGCCTCTCTTTCCATTGAGAGGTGAGGGGAGATTCCCAGAATTCTTAACCAGAACAGGTCATCACTTTATTATTTGTTTCTGTATTAGATGTTTCTATTTTTCTAAATTATTTCACTAATTGAATAAAAATAGGACAAAATAGAAAACATGACTTCTAAACTCAGGGGAAAAAGGGAGACATCAAAAGATATTTGTAGGGGCAGAGCAAGATGGCGGAGGAGTAGGAGACCTGGATTTCGTCTCCTCTCAGGAATTCAGCTGGATAGGGATCAAACCATTCTGAACACCTACAA